TTCCTGAATGGGGCCTCGGACTTACTTTTAATAATTGGAATATAACAGAAATGATAGGATATTACTTTAAATATTAGATATAAATATAGACTGTGGCTTTGATCAGAGATATTATTTTCTCTAGCTGTCGCAGATAGCTCTTCCTGGGGCCAGGTAGTTGCTACATTGTGAGGTAGCCCTGGAGAAAGGTCTACCTAGCAAGATCCTGAGGTCTACCAATTGCCATATGAGTAAGTTTGAAAGCAAATTCCTACCTTTTCCCGATTAATCCTTTGGATCAGACCATAGCCCCAGCCAACATCTTGGATACAACCTCTGGGAGACCTTGAGCCAAAGGTACCCACCCAAGTCACTTTTGGGTATCCATGCTCCTGTGAGATGATAAATGTTTGTTGTTTCATACTGCCAAGTTTGTGGCTAATGTTTATGCAGCAAGGGATAGCTAATACACAATATTCATCAAGTAATAAAAATTAACATTATTAGTAATGAGACGAATCAAACCCTGTCCAAACTGATAGGATGCAACAAGAATACAGCATCAAGTCTGTGATGTACCTAACAAAGAAGCATATCCTAAATTTGTACATGAGGAACCATTAGGCAAACCCAGTATGAAGGGCATTCTAAATAATAATTGGCCAGAAATCCTTAAACTTGTCCCCAAATCAAGAAAGAGTAAGGAATTGTTCCAGATTGAAAGAAACTAACGAGATACGTCATTTGAATACAGTATGCAATTTTGATCATGAAAATTTTGTTCCGTTGGGGCAGCTGGGTGGCTCAGTTGTTTAAGCATAAGACACTTGATTTTGGCTCAAGTCATGATCTAATGGTTCTTGAGTTTGAGCCCCACGTCCAGCTCCGCTCTGGCAGTGTGAAACTTGCTTGGTATTCTCTGTCTCTCCCTCTCTCTTTGCCCTTCCCCTGCTTACACACACACACTCTCTTTTTTTTTCTCTCTCTCTCTCACAAAACAAATAAAGAAAGAAAGAAAGAAAGTTTTGTTCTGTAAGATATTGAAAAAAACTTAGGAAGCTTAAATGGGGCCTAAGATTACATTGCAATAATGCATTAATGTTAATTTCCTGATTTTAATAATCACATCTTGGTTCTACATGGAGAGTGTCTTGATTCTTAGAAAATACCTAACATTCTGTCTCCAACGTCCTGACAAAGATTCTGCTTACAGGGCACAGACAGAAACCAGTGATAGTTTACTTGTTTCTACTATACTACTTAGGGCTGCTCTCTGCAGCTGTCGATGGCTCATTTGGTAAGATATATATTTGCTTGAGCATTTATTGATAAAAGGATGTATGGAGATTTATGTTTCTAAATTATAATAATGGTGTAATAAATTAATATTAGGTATAGACCCCTTTTTCACTATTTCCTTTTTGGAGTTGGACTACTTAAGTAATGGCCATGTAGAAAATATTCTCTGTTTAAAAACCTTCAAAAAGCACCAGCAAAAATTTCCTCTTAGCACACATCCCCAAACCTTATGTAAAACAAAATAAAGTTCATGGGGGGGGGGGGAGGAGTATCTGTTAATTTTTAAATTAAGCCAGCAGTGTAATTCTCTTTAGATATACCTTATTTTATTTATACCTAAACTACTTCTTATTCTTTTAAGTCCCTGAAAAAGAAATAGTATTCCTTAGATTTTGTTCGACACAGGGACCCCCATTCTCAGGTATAAAATAAAATATAAAATAAAATAAAATAGGGGCGCCCGGGTGGCTTAGTCGGTTAAGCGTCCGACTTTCGCTCAGGTCATGATCTCGCGGTTCGTGGGTTCGAGCCCCGCGTCGGGCTCTGCGCTGACTGCCAGCTGGAGCCTGGAGCCTGTTTCAGTCTGTGACTCCCTCTCTCTCTGACCCTCCCCTGCTCACGCTGTCTCTCTCTCTCTCTCTCTCCTAGAAATAAATAAAAAACATTAAAAAAAATAAAAAATAAATAAATAAAATAAAATAATAAAATAAAACAATCATTCCAAAGTCTTCACCAGCTCATCTAGGATTGAAAGCTAAATATAAGGCCCAAAGACATTTTAGAAGCCACTATAGGATACAACTGATTTCAATCAACTTTGTTTCCCAAGAGCCCGAGAGTCATGCCTACTTTCTGATATTGGAGTTAAGTTTATATATAAAAATAAAGATGAAATAGTAAACAATACTCCACAAAATTACTGTAATAGTTATGTACTAAAACAGGAAATACAAATCTTGAGTTGGATCACCTGGCCCTGACTATTGCTCAGGAAATGGCTGATCATACTACATAAATTATGATTTACATTTGGCATTTATCAAACATGTCATAGAGACCTGGTTATGCATGATTCAATCAGTTGCCTCAACATGGCTTAGCTCAGGCAGAGGATGATAATACAAGTATGAATAAGGGTTTAAAGATGTTACACCAGTCAGCTCTCTAGGAAAAGTTACTTAAACTGCATACCATACCCATGCATAACCACTAGTATTAAAGAACATTACTGTAATTCACTGTTACTCTAGTGATCTTAAAGAATTAAGACCACATTCACAATGTCCAAATCTGTCTCCAAGGAGAAAGTCTGAGTTGGGGAATATCTGAGTTGGGATCATTAAGCAATTTCCTTGGGTCAGAGTAAAAGCACTTTATCTGTGAATATTACTTCTGTGGCATATTGGATGTAGCACAAGTTAGTAACAAAGTGACCTTTCTCTTAAGCAATTCATATATTCACTAAAATTTTCTTCAACTTTCAGGAACTAAATATATTCCTTAGTCTGATAAGTCTTAAATATTGATTTTCCTCTGAAATCTCTGGTCACCACCACTCCCCTTTGCGTAGTTATGGTCTTTGCAATTTTCACTTGAGTTCATTTCCATTCCATGTTTAATTGTTCATCGTATTTTCTGATGCACAATCTATTATTGCTAATGACATTTGTATAATAAATTGTTTTGATGTCCCAATATTTCTTGATCCTTTGTATTACAAAATAAGCTATTTGATTCTATTTTTAAAGTGGTTGATTCTTCTCCAATATTGTACTAACAACATTGTCAATATTGAGAAAGGACAGTTATCCTAGAGAATATTCAAACACAGATATGTAAAACCGACAGCAGGATTTGTTGTGACAACAACTATATTGTCTAACAAACCATGGTGAATTCCATTTAGTATTCTTTCTTTTTCATTTTTTTAAAAATATTTTATTTATTTCTGAGAGAGAGAGAGAGAGAGACAGCGTGAGCAGGGGAGGGTCAGAGAGAGTGGAAGATACAGAATCTGAAACAGCCTCCAGGGTCTGACCTGGCTGCCAGCACAGAGCCCAACGTGGGGCTCGAACCCACGAACCGTGAGATCATGACCTGAGCCGAAGTTGGACGCTTAACCGACTGAGCCACCCAGGTGCCCCAACTCCATTTAGTCTTGAACAAACAGAATTTTGAAATCCCAGAGAAAATGATGCAGAAGGAGGAATTGCCTAGAAGGGATGCTGAAAAAGATAACAAGAGAGGAGTAATCACTGGACTGAGTGATTTACAGCAGTGACAATTTCCTTATGGTAAGAAGGGTGTGCTTCGGGATGGAGTTACGGAGATCTAGGGACATAGATGTGACGATATCTGGATGGATGCACAGAAGTTTCCCCGTAGCTTTGAGTTGCTCATGTAGAAGTAGAAAGAGCAAATGCCACAAGTCCAACTGAGTCTCTTTTGCTCTTTGGTTATGTGTGTAGGCGGGATGGTGGGGAATGGCAAAAGCAGTACATGGTAGATATTTAATTTCTAATATTTAATTAATAAGTGTTTTTATACTTTTTAGTATATATTTGAAAAAAAGGATATTATGTAAATATAGTCCACTAATACTTGGGTGAACTCATAGCATGCAATGTGTGTCACATTCAAAAGAAATACTCCTTTATTGTTATTTTTTAAAAATACAGAAAAACAGGGAGGGTGTGTAAAATTCAGTTTAAGTATTTACTGGAGTTTCTTGAAAAAATAATGAGAAACTTCAGTAATGTCATATGGAAAAATATTTTTTTAAACCCCATTCTTCTCTAGATCTTTCTGATATTTCAAGGCAGTACAGCAAATGATGTCTCATCCCAATACTGCAAAAGCTGGGACCACTTTGTTTTCTCACTTAACAACCCTGATTTTCCAGATTTATTTCTCTCTTCTGGTGCCAGGTCTGAACTTCTTTATATAAAGCTTCAGACTCTGCAGTTTTCTTTATCCAGATTGCCACAACAAAAGAATTGCTTATTTATCTAGTAAGACAGAATTTTCGAGTAATGTAGAGGGATGTGTGTGTTTCCTTTAAGGATGCTGTTTTCATAAGGGCACCTAGGTGGCTCAGTCAGTGACTTTGGCTCAGGTCATGATCTCACATTTCATGGGTTCTAGCCCCACATCAGGCTCTGTGCTGCCTGCTTTTGGTTTCTATGTCTCCCTCTGTCTCTCTGCCCCTCCTCCCTCTCTCTCTCGAAAATAAATAAACATCAAATTTTTTAAAAGGGATGCTGATGTTGTTTCTATAATAGTCACTGAGGGTCATAAATTCATGTAAATATTTCCAATTTACATGAAGTAAGTCCTGGGTTAAACCATTTAGGAACTAAAAAGCATTCTTCTTAAAAACCTTACTTTTTCTCAAAATAGTACCTTCATTTTTATTTCTCTCCCAGTAACAGCTCCATTTTCAGGGACTACTTTCTAATAAGATTTACGTCTTCCCAATTGGACTTCTAAATCTCTAGCAATCAGCACCGTATAAAAGCAAGAGCTAAACAACATAGCAAAAACTGAATAACGGATTTGCAGCCCTGTGTATGTAACCTAATACTTAAAATCTAAGTAAACTACCTTGAGTTCATTTCTCAGGTCATGGAGAGAATATGGTCTTTGAATTCCTGGTAGGGTCATAGACACAATTTCAAGCGAATGTGTGATGAATCCATTTGACAACTCCTAAAGCCACTAACCTGCTTCTGCCCTCGGTAAGGGCTCTGCATGTCTGGGATGGTTGTAGGACTCGCAGAAGCTTTCTGGGGAACGTCAGACAAGACACTTAGCAATGGCTCACAATTAGAGATTCAGGTTGTAACCTGGAAGTGAGGGGGTAGCTTTATCTCACAAATGTGCTAGACACCAGAAGTTACCTTATTATAATAGAATAAAGAAAGGGCGCCTGGGTGTCTCGGTCGGCTAAGCGTGCGACTTCGGCTCAGGTCATGATCACAAGGTTCCTGGGTTCGAGCCCTACATTGGTCTTTGTGCTGACAGCTAGCTCAGAACTTGGAGCCTGCTTCCGATTCTGTGCCTCCCTCTCTCTCTGACCCTCCCCTGCTCACGTTGCCTCTCTCTCTCTCTCTCTCAGAAATAAATAAAACATTAAAAAATTAAAAAAAGAAATAGAATAAGGATTGGCAGTGGTGACTGAGGAATAAAAGTTATTTCAAATCGTCATTAAAACCATAATCCTTAAATTCATTGACCTCAAAAATACATAGCGAACGAAACAGTATTATCCTTCTGGGATCTCCATCTATAGCTACAAAGATGCAGTACACTCCTTTCTGGACTGGTCGAGACAAACACGTAGTACATGCTGTGGATGATTTACTGTGAGCTATGAATTACTGTCTGGTCTTTGGTAGGTGTGGTAGTTACCTGTAGCACTGTGAAGGCATCTGGAATTGCAATGATAAGCGATTTTAGTACAAAGTGAGTTTTGTACTTAATTACATGGAATTCTTTGAGTTCAGGCGAATGCAAAGACTGGAAAATAGGGAAAATGTTATGTATCTTACATATTTATGACTCTATTATATATTTAGAAGGGAACAGAAAAGACAAAAAAATGGGAAGAAGTGAAATAAAGGAAAATAATTGTATCCTGTGAAGTGGAAGAATAATCTTCTGGCTTACAAATAATAAGTTTACACCAACCTGTAAAAGATTAAGGTTGTGAAGGTCTTGTAGCATCTGAAAATATTTTGATTTGCCTACTCACCCACAGGAGACATTTCTGGGACACTAGCAACGTAAGGTCCATCCAAGAACTTTGGCTCATTATCATTAATATCCTGTACTTTGATGATGAATTCTGATTCAGGCTCCAGGGGCTTCCTGGTTTCTATGTCCACAGCCTGAGCACGAAGTGTGTAGAAAGGTTTCTCTTCTCTATCCAGGCTCCTTATTGCATGAATGTCCCCTGTAGTTTCATCAATGGTAAAAACGGTGCCAGCGCCGTCCCCTGAGAGGGTGTATTTAACAGTGCCCTCTCCTTTATCTAAGTCAGAATGGAGCTTTTGGGGGGAGAGAGAGAGACAGAGACAGAGAGACAGAGAACACCATTAAAGGGATGGCCCCATGTTAAAAATACTTGAGGCATAATTTTTCATGAAAAAAGTTAAAGAAAAATCTTATTTTTTTTTAAATTTTCATTTTCTTTCTTTCCCGTCCTTCCTTCCTCCCTCCCTCCCTCCCTCTCTCTCTCTCTCTCTCCTCTCTCTCTTCCTCTCTTTCTTTTCTTCCTTTCTTTCTTCCTTTCTTTCTTTCTTCCTTTCTTTCTTTCTTTCTTTCTTTCTTTCTTTCTTTCTTTCTTTCTTTCTTTCTTTCTTTCTTTCTTTCTTTCTTTCTTTCTTTCTTTCTTTCTTTCTTTCTTTCTTTCTTTCTTTCTTTCTTTCTTTCTTTCTTTCTTTCTTTCTTTCTTTCTTTCTTCTTTTCCCTTCCTCCCTCCCTCCTTCCCTTCCGTCCTTCCTTTCTTCTAATTCTTTGGTTATGAACATTTTAAATACACACAAAAAGATTAGAAACATGCATGGTGAATACTTATATATACATGTATATATCCCAGAGATTCCATCATTTACCTTTTAATCCACAGTTGACCCTTTAATTATGCAGAGGTTAGAGTAGCTGATCCCTGGAGCAGTTGAAAATAGGTGTATAACTTTTAACTCCCATAACACTTAACTACTAATAGTCTATTGTTGACCAGAGCCTTAGCAATAACAGGAAATATGTGTATTAACACATATTTTGCATGTTATATATATTATATATTGTATTCTTACAATATAATGAAGTAGAGAAAAGAAAATGTTATTAAGAAAACATAAGGAAGAGAAAATACATTTACAGTATTATACTGTGTTTATCTATAAGTTTATGTATTCATGAAAAAAAAAAAACATGTAAGTGACATTTAACCTCCATGAAGTTAAAACCCATAGTTTTCAAGGATCAACTGTGTTTGACTCATCAGGTATATAGGCCACATATCTATCTTGCATTCATCCTTCTTTCAATCCATCTTGTTTCTCAATGCATTCCAGAGATCGTCTACACACAGCCCTTAAATACGTGAACATGCATAAATGCAACTTTTGAACATCTGTATTTATGCCTTTTAAATACTTTTGGGGGTAAAATTTTCCTAAAATGAAATGCATTAATCTTTAAGTAACCATTGCAATAAAAATAAATGAGCTAATAAATACCAAATAAGAAAACTTCCCAAATATCCTGAACTAAAAAAAAAAAAAAATCAATGACCTGAATTCAATGAGAAGGAAGATAAAAGAGCTCAGATAATGTTGAACCTTCTTATTTGAAAGGAGAAGAGAATTTTGGCACACCAGATGGTTACAGTTATGTGTAGTAGAGTATCTCATTTTAACAGACTGATTTCCAATTAGCCAAATGTCGGATAGAATCACTGATTATCTTTTCAGATTTGCAGACAGTTTGTTCTAATTCCTTCTATGTATTTGAAATCGTGTAATATAGAAAAGTTTTGAACCTCTGCTAATTTCTTCAACACATGTATAAGTCACTCTATTATAGCATGTAATAATATACACATAAATAACAGGGGAGAGGCCCAAATAGAAGATAAGTTTTCATTGTAATTCTGTAAGTCAATGTTTTTCAAACTGGAGTCCAAGAATTGATAGAAGAAGAACATTATCTTGGAGATCTATAAATTATGAAATAATGTAAACATATATATAATTTAAATATTACATTAATTACAGTTCTCTAAGAATATGTATACTCATATATATTTATAAATAATATACTCATTATTTAAATTATAGAGCATATATATTCTTATAAATATCATTTTTTATTCAGGTGCTGATCTAAAATGTATTAATGAATATCTAATCATTTGTATAAGGTTATTTGATTTCAGTGTCCACATTTTTACATTTAAAAGCTCATTTCAGGAGCACCTGGGAGGCTTGGTTGGTTGAACATCTGACTCTTGATTTTGGTTCAGGTCATGATCCCAGAATTAAGGGATCAAGCCTGGCATCGGGCTTAGTGTTGAGTATGGAGCCTGTTTGAGAGTCTCTTTCATTCTTCCTGCTCCCCCACTTGTACTCTCTCTCTCTCTTTCTCTAAAATTAAATTAAATTAAATTAAATTAAAAAAGAAAACAAAATCTAATTTCAGTCAACAGATCAACCAAAGGAAAAACATTAAGCTTTTAGTGTTCATAGTCATTTGGGCTGTGCTTCCAAATTTGCACACAAGCACACCATCTTTGCAAAATTTGGGGAAGAATGAGATCTGTTTTTGCTTTGTTTTTAATGTTTCAACCCCACAGAAAAGCTTTGAAATATTTTAAATTGTGTAAATATCTTATTGCAAATAGGCTCTGTGTATTACTATTAGTAAAATCAAAACACATAAAAAATTAAAGACAACAGTGGCTACATCTTTGCTCTGAAACTTAGCATTCTGGTTGTAAATTCAGTAAGATAACATTAATATTATTAAAATTAATCATCATTTGTGTTTATTTCAAAATTTGCTCTGAAAATATATAAGAACATAAGCAAAGAATTGATACCTGGGCAAGTGTTACCATTGAAATAATGAGAAAATAGAAAAGAGAACATATGATTTTAGTTTTTTAAAGTTCCTGTATATTTTACTCAAATCTAAGGAAAATTGCTATAAATGACAGGAGGAAGATTTTTCCTCCTAATTTTTTACAAACTCTTATGAAGCAGAGGAAGTTTCAAGTGTAAAATCAAGCTGTAGATAAATGTACTTTGAACCTGGGAATTTCAAATTACACATTTCATCCATACTATGAAAGATATTCAACACAGTGGGTACTGCTTTTTCTTTTAAATGTATCTAAAGATATGAGCCAGGCAAAAGCTCAATGCAAAAGCAAAGACTTTATAAACTGCATCCATTTTGCCAATGGCTCCAAGGAATATGTGGCAATATTGAGGGAAGCGAGTGAAAATTCTAAGAAGGTTTTTACAGTGTGATCCAAGCTACAAAAAAAATCCAGATTTAGCTAAAAAGAGAACTGTTTTCATTACTAACAGACACAAGAATAGAAAAGCAAATGTGTTTGAGGCTCTATCCAAGATTGAAATTAAATTCAGTTACCGTTCCTTCTCACTCTTCTGCTTTTCCCTTCTCATTTAAAGCTGAGTTTTGTAGAGGTTAAAGCTTCAGAAGAAATATGTGAAAATATGTTAAAACTTCAAACTGGAAATGAGGTTGATTAATGTAAAACTCTTGAGAGGATTAGAATTTTCATAGCAGTTCATTACATGGACAATACCTCAGAGAAGGCCACCTGCAAATCTGGCGTTGACAGGCAATATATTTTTTAACTTTTTTCTTTTTTCAAAAAGCTTATTTATTTATTTATTTATTTATTTATTTATAGAGAAACAGAGAGCCCCAGTGAAGAAAGGCAGAGAGGGAGGGAGAGATACAGTATCTCAGGGAGGCTCTGCACTGTCAGCAAGGAGCCCATTTCTGGGCTCTAGCTCATGAACCATGAGATCATGACCTGAGCCAAAATCAAGAGTTGGACACTTAAACTACTGAACCACAAAGGCACTCCTTACAGGCAATAGTTAAAATTAGTTATTCAGTGTTAATTGAACTGGCACATGAGGGACTAGCTTAAAGTATAGGTGTTTTTCCAGCATCAGTTCTAATATTAAATAAGTGACAGCCTGATATGGGTTGTAGACAGATAGTTTCTTTTACCATTTCTGTACACTTCCAGTTATATTTAGTATATATAAATTGCTATAAAGAAAAATATATATAACTGAAAGAGTATACATACAGAAATATATCTATATGTACTTTTATTTTTATTATTCTTGACTATTTATACATATAACACGATATGAATAAAAGCCAACACTTTCAATAACAAAATACCATGACCATTTTTCAGTATCACTTGAAATTCTTCAAAAAAATGTTTTTAAGTAACCTCAGTCCCCAAAGTAGGGCTCAAACTCAGGACCCCAAGACTGAGGGTCACATGTTCTACCAACTGAGCCAGCCAGGCTCCCTTCTGCAGAATTATCTTTTAATGTGTTCATTATTCATTCAAGGAAGTTGAATGATTTAATGAGCACTGCCTACTTTTTTATAAATAATAACATGAATATGTGTGGTTCTTCTGTTTAGCTCTTATAAAGGGTAATTATCAAGACCAAAACCATCATAACTTTTAGGATTCAAAAAATGTGAAACTAAAGTGATTCCAGAAATTGATCTTTGTAGATGGAATTTGTTTCTTAAATCTTTCAGCAATGGAATTCAGGCTTAGCTTACACTGTAAAGCTATTTCTTAGTGTCATTTGCATAAAGAAGGAGAGAGGGTTTCAGAAGAAGGATTTTCATGACTTGCGTCATCTTTGGGCTGTGTTAACTAAGACACAACACATGATGCCATTTTACACAAGGTTTTAAGTTACACATACAGAAAGCTAATAATTCCACAAGGATAAAGTTTTTTCATTTATAACAATTTAAAAATACAGCAAGGAAGTTTCCTTATTCCAATTACTTCTTTTTTATGTTTATTTACTTATTTTGAGAGAGAGCACAGGCAAGGGGAGGAGCAGAGGGAGAGGAGAGAGAATCCCAAGTACAATCTGCACTGTCAGTATGTATCCTGATATGGGGCTCAATCTCACAAACCATGAGATCATGACCTGAGCTGAAATCAAGAGTCAGACACTTAACTGACTGAGCTACCCAGGCACCCCTCCAATTATTTTTTAAAAAGCTGTTTCTGAGTAGGTAGTGACTCTATTTACTGACAGAAGCAGCCAACATCAATAATATTATGTTTTAGTATTGACATTTACAATTTCTCCCAGAAACAGAGTTCTCTAAATGATACATGTAAAAATTTGCACTGTCCAAGCAGTTGTTTTGTGGAAGTGGTGGTGTTGTTTTCTGACGTTTTCCAAGTCATCTCAGATGGAGCATGAAAATGACATGCCAAGAGGGGTTT